CCAGCACCCGAATGCCCCATGCGGAGGCAGGCCCTTTGCTATATGGAAGTGACCTGCCTGCGTTCTGTCCCAGGCTGCGCTGGGCCTTTCCCAAGAAGCTTCCGCTAGGCCCCGGTAGCCTGAGGCCCAGTCCAAACAAATCAGGCCCAGGGCCTGAGTTGGTTGCTTGCTCCCAACTGCCTTCGGCCTGTGTTTGACCCACATCCCGTATCCAGCCCAGGGCCTGCCTTCGATACATGCAAACAGGCGGCCCAGGGCCTGGGTTCTTTCAACCAACTGGCGCTGCGCAACTACCTGAATTTCCTTAGTTGCATGGTGGCCAAAATAGGGGCCCTCAGGACCTTGTTGTGCCTGCCTTCACTTAGGGCGGCCGACGTGCTGCTTGGCAGGGCCTGAAGGGGCTCATCGAGGCTGTGGCCTCACAAAAGCCTGGACCATCACTCAGGGCCAGGTGACCTGAGGGGCGTAGGACGAATGTCCAAGTTCACCCAGTAGGCAGTGGTCAGAACGAGGGGCAGAACGAAATAAATAATAAGCACCCTCTGCTATATTCCAGGCTCTTTTTTTTTTTTTTTTAAGACACACACACCCACTCACCCCTTCTATTCTGGGGGGTACCAGTCCGGTTACTTATTACCGGCAAGCAGCAAAACATATGGAAACCAGTTTGTAGAGTGATAGAAAAGGAGGTAGGACCTACCTGCCCGGCCCTAGACACCTGCCAGCAGGGGACTATTGGACACCAAGCCATCCGTGTCAGAAACGGCCAGGGGTAGACGCGGGTAGGTCGGGACATCCTAAAAAGTACGCAGACATCCTCCCGGGCTCACCATTGGATATCCCCCTCTCAGGGTAGGGGATGAGAAATAGTCTACCGGTCCTCAATACTCTGTAATTAGTTGGCTCTTACTCAGTAGTCTGTGGTCACTCTATTCCATGACCATCTCACGCCAAATAGAATGTAGGATCATCATATCCCTATCTGCCACCATGCCCTCCATTCAGAGAAAGATGGTAGCGCCCTGAGGTCTGTAAGGCAGTGTGTAAGTCCTTTTAGGGGTCAATGGGATCTACCTATTGCCAAGGTTGGATGTTACATGCTGCGCCTGCAAGAGGCTGCACGGGCCATTTTCAGGCCCGTGTCGTTTTCAGCCTGAAAGCCTGAAAACAAGGGCCTACAGGCCCTGTGTCTATTCAGCCTGAAAGCCTGAAAACAAGGGCCTACAGGCCCTGTGTCGTTTCAGCCTGAAAGCCTGAAAACAAGGACCTACAGGCCCTGCGTCGTTTCAGCCTGAAAGCCTGAAAACAAGGGCCTACAGGCCATGTGTCGTTTCAGCCTAAAACAGGGCCCCCCAGGCCTGAGTCTTTTCAGCCTGAAATGGAGGGCCATTTTCAGGCCCTCATAAGACCGACCTGCCCTGAAACTCAGGCACCAGACCAGGGTTTTAGCACAGGCCATTTTGGGCCTGTTTTCAAGACAACCCTTTGTTTGAGCTTCAACGCCAGGGTCTGGCACGTTTTGGCATTGGCAAGAGCAGCCTCCTGGACGGGCCAGCACTATATAGGACTGGCCCGCC